GTGGAATGGAAGGAGGGAGTGAGTGGAATGGAAGGAGGGAGTGGGTGGAATGGATGGAGCAGAGTGTGTGGAATGGATGGAGGGAGTATATGGAATGGAAGGAGGGAGTGGGTGGAATGGATGGAGCGGAGTGAGTGGGATGGCTGGAGCAGAGTGGGTGGAATGGATGGTGTGGAGTAAAATGGATGGAGTGGAGTGGATGAGTGGAATGAACTCAAGCCAGAATACCAAGAGATTTGATTAGTTGCTATCACTAGAGTAGATCTCCCCACCTCACCCACCCACCTCCATGTTCTGTCTACAAACTTCCCCAATCCCTGTGCCCACATCACACTCACCATGGACTTTACTGGGGGAGAGCGCAGGTGGGGGCAGGCCAGGGGAGCTGTGGGCAGGCAGCGTAGTGCCAGGGCCTGGCCCAGGTGGTGGCCCATTGTATGTGTCCATGGCTAGCTTGTGCCGGAAAGCTTCTTCTTTGCGCCGGTTTGCAAACCAGTTGTAGACACGCACCTCGGTGACGAGATTGGAGCCGAGCCCCTGTGCCTGTGATGGAGACACACCTCTCTGGATGCACTCGGCCCTGCAGAAATGCACCGTGAGCACCCGTGAGCACCACAGGCCGGCCTCTGGGGGTCAAGAGAGGGTTCTAGGAAGTCAGGCTCTATCCAAGTGTTTGGGGCTGGTAGATCTGGGTTCCAATCCCAATTCTGCTGTGTGACTTTTGGCAACTGACTTAGCCTCTCTGACCTCAGTCTCCATTCATAAAGTGATCAAATAGCCATAGGGTTATACAGTGGAGAGGAAATGAGATGAACAGCTCCTCAGGGAGTTTCTAGGGGGCATTGGTGGAGGTCACTAAGAATGGGAATAGATTCAAGACACTGAGCAGAAACAATACTTTTGGTTCTCTAGGTCTGACTAAGCCATCAGCAGGAGCCCTCCAGGCCTGGGGAGTCTCCCCAAGGAGCCAGAGCCACCCCTCTCCCTGTCATGCAGTCAGTTCAGACTGACCCTCCCACTGGGCTTCTAGGACTTTAAATTTTTATAAAGAACTTGGATTTCCATTCATTCATTGTTGCACATTTTCCTCCCTGTCTCCCTTTCCCCTAGTTCACTTTTTTCTTTGGAGAAAAAATTCTTTCATTGTTACACAGTCCCCCCTCAATACCACCACCACTTTACTATGCAGCTCTTGTTCTGGACTCTTGTCATGCCAATAATACCTAATCATATATTCCTTTTATACAGTTCTCTCCCTCAGCAGTATGGCATTTTCTCAAAAAGTTGGAAAAGGAAATACCATTTGACCCAGCAATTCCACCACTGGGAATATTCCCTAAAGAAACCATAACTGCCATCCAAGCAGATATATGCACACCCATGTTTATTGCTGCTTTGTTCACAATAGCAAAGAGTTGGAAACAACCCACGTGCCCATCAACAAACAAGTGGATAGAGAAGCTGTGGTATATTCACACAATGGAATATTATGCAGCACTGAAAAACAAAGAACTCATGAAATATTATACAAAAATGGGTGGCCATGGAGGACATTATGCTGAGTGAAATATCACAGTCACAAAAAGACATACTGCATAAATGCCATTGTTAAAGAACAGGACTGATATTGGGGGGGGGAACAGAAAAGTAAGACTTTAAAACTTAAAGAGAAGAGAGGAGTCTGCCCATCTTCCCATGAAACTGCTGATGGATTTTTTTGGTTTTGTTGTTTTATTTGGTTTTTTTAAAAATTTTTATTTTATTAATTTTAATGAACATTTACAGATAAACTTCTTCGTTGGTGGAACTGCTGGTGAATTTGAACCAATGGAGACGCTCAGTATAACTTGCTATACTGTGCTAGTTGGCTGTGCCACCAGAGCTCCGCCCTTCTCTCTCAGCCCTGACTCCAGTCAGCCTTGCTAACCGCTAACCTGCCTGCCAGTGTACCTGTTGCACTCCTCCACTAGTGTCTCCCGCTCCTCCTTGCTAGGGTTCTTCTGCCTCTCATAGGCCTGGAATAGGATCTGCTGGGATGCCGGCCCCCACTTGAATCTATTCCTTCGCCCCTTCTTGGTTGGCAGCTCATCGCCAGTGGGCTCTTCAATCAGCCCACCCTGGCCTGCATGGGTGAACTCTGCAGACAGAGCAGGATTGACGTGAGCCAGACATGTCAGACAGACACAGACATAACAGAGACAGACATGAGCCACTCCCACCTTCCCATATCAGCGACTCCACAGTCCTCAGGGTGCAGAGCCAGAGGAACTTACAGCCAAAAATTAGACCTTATCAGATCCACTGAGGACAAATGCACAGCACACTTACCACCGTCCTTTTAACCTGTGCCTGAGGCAGACATCACTAATCAACCACTGCACACTAAGGGGCTCTTGTTGCTGTTGTTCTTACTGTTGAGTCAGAACTGACACAAGCTATTTTCTTTCCTTTTTTTTTTAAATTGATTATTTTTTTGTGTGTACCATCAAATCAGATCTGTGTGGTACAGGAGGAGATTGCCTCTCCTTCTGTAGCAGAACATCTGGTAGATTTGAACCGTGTACCTCTGGGATTGCAACACACAAGCTATTTTCAAAGGCAGTTTAATTGCCCCGGAGGAGATTGCCCATCTTTCTTCTGCAGAGCAGCTGGTGGATTGAAACCATGTCCCTTCAGGATTATAGTGTAATTTCTCACCACTAGGCCACCAGAGCTCCCAACAAAACAATTGTTCCAGTTTGGCACACTGCACACTTGTTATCCCCATTTCACAGATGAGGAAACTGAGGCTCAGGGAAGGTAGAATTTTTTTTTTATTTTTTTTTTTAGGGTCACACAATAGTGCAGAAACGTGAACAAGAGTATTCAGAACTACACTTAGTTTTCTTGACTTGAAAATCAGGCTTAAAATGTGAGTGTTGGTGAGGAGTGAAGCGACTCAGGCAGCCCTGATCTGCTAGTTCCACTTCGCTTGGAACTAGTCTGTCATCTTACCCCTGAGGCAGGGCACCGAGGGAACAGGACAGATGGGTGCCAGGGCATCTTTATGTGAGTGGAGGGAGGGGCTCAGCTCAAGTACAGATGCAGGGGAGCCCTCGCTGTCTCTGACTGCCGGAGGCACTCCAGGTGCTCTGGGGAGAGGGATTTGCTGTTGTTAGGTGCCCGGGTCGGGTCAGCTCTGACTCACAGCACCACTATGAACAACACATGAAGCCCTGCCTGATCCTGCGCTGTCCTCACAAGTCTCTGCTGCGCCTACACCCACTGTGACAGTCCCTGTGTTAGCCCAGCTCATCGAGCCCAGCATGCTTCTGAGGGTTTGGCAAGGTTACCTGTGGGCACATCTAAGCCCCCACTTCCATTTCTGTCATGATACTCTTGCCAGCACTTAGAAGAACGCTTGGCTCAGATGCCAACATGCAGCAGTCGCAGCATGAACATCCCCTAGTGATGCCGTCTTGTCCTGCCAGACACACCCTCAGTGTGGCCCAGGTTGGGAGAGGGGCTGGACCTTGGAGACCTTTCTCGTGAAGTGGAAGTAGCAGATCTGGGGTTCCAGAGTCTCTACTCCACTCACATTTTAAGCCTGATGTTCAAGTCAAGAAAATTAAGTGAAGTTCTGAACCATCTTGTTTAAGTTTCTGCACCAAGTTTCTGTGGGACCCCAGACAAAAACTCTACCTTCCTTGAGCCTCTATTTTCTCATCTGTAAAATGGGGATAACAGCTGTGCAGTATGCCAAATAGGAACAATTGTTTATGCTTACCTAGACCTGGAGGTATCTTATAAGATACATGGCTTGACCTAAAATAATGAAAATATTTTTCATCTTTAAAAAAACAACAAGAGGGAACTCTGGTGGCCTAGTGGCAAGAAGTTGCACTGCAGTCCCAGAGGTATGTGGTTCGAATCCACCAGATGCTCTGCTGGAGAAGGAGGGGCAATTTCTTCCTATTCCAGTGTCAGATCCAATTTGACGGTACACACACACACAAATAAAAGAAAAAAACACTGAAAAAAAACCCCAACAACAAACCTTTCCCCATCAAGATCATAAAACCCAAATAAACCTAAAAAAAAATCACAACCAGGAAGACATGACAACTAGGAGATAAAATGTGTGTGAGAGATAAGGTGTGTGACATGTCTGTAGCTGGATGGGATCCTAGAACAGTCTGTTAGGGGGAAACAAAAGTCCAAATCCAGTGTGGCTGTTATTTAATAATATACTGCTGTTGGGTTGTTAACCAGGACAAGCGTCATCTGTGTTAATAATGGGACAGCGGTCATCCTCAGTCAGTGGAGGCTTGTGTATCACTGCGAAGCAGAATAGGTTTCCCCAGAAACTCCAGACTAAGGGTAGGAAGAAAGGTCTGGCAATCCACGTCCAAACAGCCCGTGAGAACCCTAAGTAGAGCTCACAGTGGTCCCGTCCCGTCACACATGAGTCCACGGCTGACTTGATGGCAAAACATGTTACTGCTGTCATTCAACTCAACTCATAAGTGTCAAGTCAGAACCAACTCATAGCTGAGTTGGGTGAGCATAGGTGGGTTTTCAGAAGCTATAAATTGCACAGGAGGAGATTGCCTGTCTTTCTTCCACAGAGCAGCTGGTGGATTTGAACTGCCTGCCTTTGGGTTGATTGTGCAACTCCTTACCCACTCAATATCCCATTATAGGATGTGTCTCACTGTATCATACGCATCTCTTCTGCTTCCCTATAAAGAGTATATTCTTGGAGGACCCAGTTGATCCATCTGTGAATATTCAGTTTCCGCCCTTCTCTGCTTTCCCAGAGTGCATTGTGCAGATAGGTACTAAATGTAGGTGGAATTCCGCTGATGGTTCAGTCTGCCTGTGTGTGTACTGGGGTGATGACGCTTCCAGCCCCCACCCCGAGAGTCTCGAGGCCCCACCAGGGAGGACGCAGCGGGGATGTTACTTACGCTGGGCCACCTCTCGCTGCTTGCGGACGTACCAGGTGTACAGGGCGGCGCGCTTCTGCGTCTTCATCGGGGTGCCCTTGTTGAGGTGCTGGGACAGGTGGGACTGGTTGAGGCCGGTGGTGTCCACCACCTCCCGCTGCGGGATGTTGTGCTGCTGCAGGTAGGACTTGACCATCTTGGCCACCCGCCATGGGTCCTCCCTGGGAGGGGACAAGGACAGGGCCTGCTCAGTGCAGTGTCCACATGCAGAGCCTGGGGCCGCACAACCAGATTCACCGACAGGACGGTATGGACACTCTACAGGCTACAGGGACCTGAAGACACAGTCCTGGACACACGTACACAACAAACGTGTAGGCGCAGGCCTGTGGACACACAAAGGTTTAGAAATTTACAAAAAGATTCGCACAGGAAGCAGCTCAAGCCCCGTGAAGAGGCTCTTCAGTCCTGTGCTTCTAAAGTGCCCCTCTTCCTCCTGCCTGCAATTGTTACCCATGGCCATGTCATATCCACCCTGAAAAACTTAAGCTCCTGAGGGCAGGAGCTGTCGAGTTTCTCAGGCACCCAGATTGGCTTGACACAGACTATTGTCCCTGGTAAATGCATGAGTCTATGAGTGGGTATGTGGGATAGATGGACAAGTAGGTGGGTGGATAAGAGAGAGAGGATGGATGGATGGATGGATGGACGGACGGACGGACGGACGGGGAGGACCTACTGGAAAACGGAAATCATTAGATGTAAAACAAGAGGAGAAACGTGGATCCTTCTCTCCCTTTCCTTTCCTCTCCTTTCCTTTCCTTTTTTCCTCCCTCCCTCCGTCTCTCCCCCTCCTTCCCTCCCTCCCTCCTTTCTTCCTTCCTCTCTCTCTCTCTCTGTCTCTCTCTCTCTTTAATAATCAGGGCTACTACAGTATAGTGCTTACACCCATCACTTGCTCAAAGCCACACGAACAACCATGCAGAGTCTGGTCCACCTGAAGGATCCTTTGTGTCAGGGAGAAATGACACAGGGTCCAAGGGCTTGGAAACTCTCTGCACTCAGCCCTGGGCTATCGTATGTCCAGTTTCCCCACAGCACTGGGACGGGCAGCTGGCCAACAGCGTCCCAGGTTTTATGGTATTATGGATTGACAGGCTAGGACTAAAAAGGCGTGTGTCAAGCACAGGCTGCCAATCTCTCCTCGGGCCACTAAGGGAGCTGAGGCCACCAACGACTCACATCTCTGTCCTCTGCCATTATAGGAACGCAAAGGGCCAGAACTGTACAGGTGACAACAGTTGTCTCTATGGGAAGCCAAATTTCATACTAAATATTTGTAATGAACCAAATGCTACTTCAGGATGTGAGGGAGGCTGATACAAACTGAAATTCACCCTGAAGCACTAAGGCAATTCTTAAATGTTTACAGGGGTAGACACTAGGCAATCCTTAAGTTTACAGGATTCTTGTATTGTATTTGCTAACCCCTCCCTCCTGAGTCAAGCATAAGGTTTCCAATAGAAAGAGCTTAGCTTCATTTGCATTGGATTCTCTTGGTGATTTGCTCCCTGGCAATTTTCAATAAAGACACAGGGAAGCCAAGTCGAGCTTCAGTTTGTTTCAGTTGTTTGAGAACTGTTCACCTCCTGCTTTACCCATTTTCTCCTACATTCTTGGTGTTCTGTCTCGTTAGTAATACTTATAAAAATACTTTACCCTCTGTCTACAAAATCTCCTCTTCTGCTCTGTCTCAGTCCCCCTCCCCTGCCCTCTCCTTCTCTTGAACTTGGATTACAGGCGTGTGTCAGATATGGGCAGCCCACTACAACAGTGTTGGTGCAGCCTGGCTAGGATTTGAACCTAGGTCCATATGATCTCAAAGCCTGTGCTCTCACCTCTGTGACTCAGCAATCCCCCTGCTTCTGATATTTTTGTACATGTGACAACTGGCCCGTGTAGAAGATAGTTTGTCACCCTGGTGTCCCCTTACCCATCCAGTCCACTCAGTGTGTCACAGCAGGATTGTGACCCATAGTGTTCTCAGTGGCTCACGTTCTGGAGCTTGATCACCAGGCCTTTCTTCTGAGGCACCTCAGGGTGGACTCTAAACCTTCTGTCTAGCCACCGAGGGGGTTGAGCCTCTGAACCACCCAGAGCCCCCAGTAAAGGACTGGAAGCAACTGGAATGTCCAGTGCAAGGATGCTGATGTATGAACCAGGGCACCCGCTCAACCCATTTTTAAAAAACCCACCGAGGAAGCCATGCACCCCCAGGTGGAACTGCATCTGAGACAGAGCAGGGTGTGTCTGGCTGGCATGTGCTCCTAACCTGCTGCGCGTGTGAGACAAGAAGCAGGTAAGAGAGCACATGTCTGTGGGTGTGACAGGGCGCTCTGGTGGCCTAGTGGGTAAGGGGTTGTGCTGCCATCTCTGCATGGGGTTCGAATCCACCAGCTGCTCCACAGAAGAAAGATGGGCAATCTCCTCCTGTGCAGTTTACAGCCTCTGAAAACCTGCTGGAGGGTCAGCTAGGCGTGGATTCTGACTCAGTGGCACCTGTTGTATGTAGCAACAGCTATTCCGTTTTAAATACTATATATAAACTTGATTTTCTGCCTTCGAGTCAGAACCAATTCATAGCTGACCCCTCCAGCAAGTTTTCAGAGGCAGTAAATCAAATGGGAGGAGATTACCCATCTTTCTCCATGAGAGCAGTTGGTGGATTCAAACTGTCTGCCTTTGGATTGGCAGCGTAGCTCCTTAACCACCAAGCCATCAGAGCTCTTAAAACGGAATGAGCAAGAAGCTGCACTGCAATCCCAGAGGTGCGTGGTTCAAATCTACCAGAAGCTCTGCTGGAGAAGGAGGGGCAATCTCCTCCTGTGCCACTCAGATCTGATTTGAAGGTACACAGACAAAAATAAAATAAAAAAATTT